TCTCTCCTCACAACATGTCCAAAGTATGTCAGACGGAGCCTCAGAATCCTTGCCTCCAAGGAGCCACCCGGTTTAACCCTTTCCAGGACAAATCTGTTTGTTTTCCTAGCAGTCCATGGTATTCTCAATACTATTCTCCAGCACCACAGCTCAAAGGCATCAATTCTCCTTCTATCCTCCTTGGTCATTGTCCAACTCTCTGATGCATAACAAGTGACTGCGAAGACCATAGCCTGTATCAGATGCACCTTAGTCTCCAGAGAGACACCATAGCGACCCTATAGCAGTCCTAAAACCTGCTCTGTCCTGTGCCAATCTCACTGTCTCCAACACACCTATCCCCATTACCCCAGTCACTGAATCAATCCACCTCATCGAGGATCTTCCTCTCCTGCACTGTTCCTCCACCAAGCATGACATCCTGTCTCCAAGGACTGGTCCCTCCTTGCAGCATGTTCAAAGTATGGCAAAGCTTCAGATCCCTGCCTCCAAGGAGCAACCTGGTTTAACCCTCTCCAGGATGAACCTGTTCGTTTTCTTAGTCCATGGCATGTATATTCAATACTCCAACACCACAGCCCAAAGGAATCAATTTTCCTTCTATCATCCCTAGTCATTGTCACCTATGGTTCAGTGGAGCTTTTAGAGTAAGACAGACTAGGAAGCAGGACTGGCCATCTACTTCTGAAATAATAGGACTTTAAAAACCCTATGAATAGGGGGGCTCTGGTGGCCTAGTGGCAACACGGTTCGAACCCACCAGATGCTCTGCCGGAGAAGGAGGGACCATTTCCTCCTGTACCAGTCAGATCTGATTTGACAGTACATGCACAAAAAAAAACCAAAACAAAAACCCTATGAATAAAGCCAATAAAATATTTTTTTTATTATTATTATTATTTATGTGTGTACCGTCAAATCAGATCTGACTGGTACAGGAGATGATTGTTCCTTTTTCAGCAGAGCATCTGGTGGATTTGAACAATGCACCTTTGGGATTGCAGTGCAGCTTCTTGCCACCAGGCCACCAGGGCTCGCCAATAAAAATATTTTTTTAAAAACCCCTATTAATAAGAGGAACATTGTTAGATACAGTACCAGAAGATAGAGCCCCTCAGATTGTTATTGTTGTAATGTGCCATCAAGTCGCCTGCAACTCATAGTGACCCTAGGTATAATAGCTCTGAACTCTGCTCTATTCTGAGCCAATCTCACTGTCTCCAACATACCTACCCCCATTAAGTTACTGTGTCAATCAAAGCATCCAAAGTCTTCATTTCTTGAGCTGTCCTCCACCCTTCGAAGCATAATGACCTTCTCCAGGAACTGGTACCTCCTGGCCACATGCCCAAATTATGTGAGAGAGAGCTTCAAAGTCCTTGCTTCCTAGGAACAGCCTGGTTTCACCCTCTCCAGGACAGATCTCTTTGTTCTCTTAGTAGTCCATGGTGTATTTAGTACTCTTCTTCAGCACCACAACTCAAAGGTATCAATTCTTCTTCTGTTATCCTTAGTCATTGTCCAGTTATCTGATGCACAGCAAGTAATTGCGAAGACCATGGCCTGAATCAGGTGCACCTTAGTCTCTAGCGTGACATAATTGCTCTTTAGCACTCTGGCGAGGTCCCTAACAACAGCTTTCCCCAGGGCAATATTTTTTCATTTCTTGACTGCTGGGGCCAAGAGTGTTGACTGGATCTGGGCAAGCTGAAATTGTTAAAAACTTCAAACTCTTCTCCATCTGTTTTGGTGCTGCCAGTTGGCCCAATGGTGAGAATTTTTGTCTTCTTAATGTTGAGTTTCAATCCATATTGAAGACTACAAGATACTAAAAAAAAAAAGAAAGAAAGAAAGAAAGAAAGAAATAGTTGCAACAGACAATGTGGAGGAAATTGGAAGCTGTCAAAAGTAAAACACAACACATAAAGATGGACATGGTACCCATTGTTGAGATGGATTGAAATTTGCCACCCTCAGATAATTATATGATCTATTGTGCCTAGAATGACAAACTGAAGAATGGTGGTGTATTCATAATAAAAAAAGAATGTTTAAAACAGCTATCCTAAAGTTCTATCATGTTAGTAATAGGGTAATGACCATAATTAAAAAAAAAAAAAAAAGAGGATCTGTTAATACAACAATTATTAAAATATACACACCAACCTCTAAAGTCAAAGATGAAGAAATTGAGAATTCCTACCAACTTTTGCAGTCTGAAATGCAATAAAGATGCATCATAGTAATTGGTGATTGTAATGCAAAAGTTGGAAACAAAGGACTGGTAGTTGGAAATACAGACTTGGTGACAAATGAGGCTAGAGACTAAATAATAGAATTTTATATAAAAATCAAGTTATTCCCCGTGAAAACCTTTTTTTAAAAAAAAAATAATAAAGCCCAAAACTGTACACACAGATCTCACCTAAAAGACAACAGGGTTCAGACTGACAATGTCTGTTGAAAGAGTCAATAGAGAAGCTCAATATCAGCAGTCAAAACCAGGTCAGGGGCTGATTGTGGAACAGATCACCAATAACTCACAAGTTCAAACTGAGGATGATGAAAAATTGAAACAAATCTACAAGAACTGAAATATTATTTGGAGTGTATCCCAACTGAATTTAAAAATCATCTTACATATAGATTTGATACATGAGATGACATCAATAAAACACAAAACTAGCTGGGGAGAGGAGGGGGGAGAAGGCATGAGAAGTGAAGTTAGCTATGAAAGACTGCTTTGTAAAATGGCACTTCCACACTCTGCCTCCAACCTCAGTGGTAGCACTAACTAGCCAGGTACCAAGACAGAAAATTGCCATCATGAAGGATATTCCCTCTTTGTCACATACAATCCACTCCTACACCTTTCTTCTCCACACTTCCTGAGAGGTGGATTGATTTCTGTCTCTCTGACATGGAGCTCTGCTGCTTAGTGGTAAAGAGGCTCCCGGTTCTAATCCACCTGTTGCCACATGGGAGAAAGAAGGGCCATCTCCTCCAGGGTGGTTTACTACCTCTAAAACCCTGCTGGAGAGGCAGCCAGATCACTGAATCATACTCAACTTGAAGGCATTTAACTCCAACAACATTTGGCCTTAATGGTAGCAACAGCTAAGTAAAAATGTATGCTAGGAATTTTAAGAGCTTTACATCTATCAAATAATTTGATAATAATTTTGATTAAACAATCTGCATTTCACAGGTTAAAAAAACGGAAGCATGGAGAACCAAGAAACTTTACTGATTTGACACTGAACCTCAACTTTCTGAAACGTCTTAGCCACCAAAAGCGGGTGTCTGTCCTCCACAATGCCAGACCCTACAAGTTTCCTTCTGGCTAGTTTCCAGGTCTCTCTCGTCTTCTGCCAACCCATTTCCCATAATTTGTTCTAATACAGAAGTGAAAGGGAACTCAGGTGGCCTAGTAGTAAGTACCTGCACCGCAATCCCTAAGTGTGCAGTTCGAATTCACCAGCTGCTACATCCTCCAATGCTGTGGAGGGGCAGCTATGAGCTCTGACTCACTGACACGCAACTGGTGACTTCTCCAAGACTCTGGCTCTTCTCAAACCCCACTCTGCGTGGGCTGGCCTCTGGGTATCCTTCTGTCATCATCTCATTCTACCACATTCTAGTTCCTGGAATTCACTCATGCTGGGTTTTCACTGCATAATTAATTGCCTGTCTGATCTCCCACCCGCCTGGACCCAAATGCTTGGCGAAGCATCGGTGGCTTATTTATTACTAGGTAGGGTTACAGACCAGGACTTGGGAAATCTTTCTCTGGGCTTCTGTCAAAAGCAGGTAACTTCTCATCCAAGGTTCCCTCTAACATTTAGATCAGGGAACACCTCTGGTGGAGTCATTGCTAGCTTTCTTAGGAAACGTGTTATTGGTGGATTATTCCAGGGTAGAAAGAACTGGGCACAGCCTAAGCGACTAGCTTCGTGAGACACCTGGAGGCTTGTCTCCCAAGCTCCGCGTGGCTCCGGTTGCAACACTTGGGAGGGGGAATCCCCAGATGGCAGAGCGGTAGCAGGGACACGGTTCGAGACTACACTGCAGTCTTCCACCACTCGCCCTCCTCGGATGAGAGTGCAGCAGAAATGTGTTTTTAGGAATCGTGAAATACACAATTCCAGTAAAGCCCCATTAGGTGAAGAGCCTCAGAAAGAACGTAAGACTTGTTTCCCCAGACGGGCGGCCCAGGTCCCTCTTTTCGCCTCCATGTCAGCCCGCTTGGGCCTCCCTTCCCTCTTCTTTTCCTCTCCCTTCGGAACAAGGGACTGCGGCGCGCGCCCCGGGGAGCCAGGGCCGGGCGGGACTCGGAGCTCCCAGCGCTCGGCCGCCGGGCCAGGACAGCAGCGGCGCGCGGGCCACGTCCAGGACGAGGGCGGGGAGGGCGAGGGCGCCCCCGGCGGCCAGACTCCGCACTCCCGCCCCGGTCCGCGATGGAGGAAGCGACCCCTGCGGAGCCGACCCCCTCCGCCGCACACCTCCCCAGGCCGCACCCCACACCCACGCCCGCGCTCGGGGAGCCAACCCCTCCGCCACACCCCGACCCGAGCGCGCGCGCCGCACCCCCGCCCCGGCCCGCGATTGAGGAACCGACCCCGTCGGAGCTGGCCCCCTTGGCCGCACCCCCGTCCCGAGCTACGCTTGGGGAGCCGACGCCGTCGCAGCTGACCTCCTCGGCCAGACCTTGCACCCCAGCCCCGGGCCGCGCTTGGGGAGCCCAACCCCTCAGAGCCAACCCCCTTGCAGCTGACCCCCTCGTCCGCACCCTGCACCCCAGCCCCGCGCCGCGCCTGGGGAGCCCAACCCCTCGGAGCTGGCCCCCTCGGAGCTGACCCCTCGTCCACACCCTGCATCCCAGTCCAGCGCCTGGGGAGCAGAACCCCTCGGAGCTGAGTCCCTCGGCCGGCGGCGGGCAGCGCGACTGGCAGCGACCTCCGCATTCGAACCTCCCTCGCAAAGCCCGTCTCCGCCCCACAATGCACCGCGGCGGGCAGCCTTTGAAAAAGCGGCGCGGCTCGTTCAAGATGGCGGAGCTCGACCAGTTGCCTGACGAGAGTGAGTAGCACGTCCGAGCACTCCCTTCCCCGCTGCGGCCGGCCGCCCGGGAGCTGCCCGCAGCGGGACAGGCGGTCGTGGCCTCCGCCCCGCGCGGGGACTCGCTGCCAGCGCCGCCGCGTCCTCCTCGTCCTTCCACTTTGCTGTTTGCCGCCGCGCCGCCGCCTTTGTTATGGTGTCTTGTGTGTTGGTTTCTGGGGTGGTGTGAGCGCCACAACCGGAAACCGAGCGCTCGGGAGCGCGGCCCGTGTGGGGCGCAGGCGGGAGCCGGGGGCCTCGGCTGCGGACGGGGACGCGTGGCCGCCCTGGCCGCCGGCACGGGGGCGCCCGGCCGGTTATGTAACTTGGCCGTCCCGGGGCCCGGAGGGCTTGGGCCGGGCGGGGGGGGCGGTGCAGCCTCGGCTGGTAGCCCTTGTCCTGCCTCTCTGGACGTTTGCGATCCTCACTGTGCCCTGTCCCCAGCGCTGTGTCCACCAGCAGAAGTGTTTCCGTGTCAGGGCACGGGCCCCTTCCCCCGGGACCACAGGTGGCAGTGGACCCTTCCAGGGACGGCGCTGTGGGATGCGCGGGTGGCCAGGGGGCCCTCCTCCTCCGCACCTTTGCTTCTGTGAGTGTCTTTAAGGTCATGACAGCCCCCTGTGCACATGGATGTGACCAGCACAACATGCATGTAAGTTGGTCCTTCCCCTCTGACACCTGCCCCTGCGCTTTGCTCATTGATTGTAGTCACTCACTGGGCCATCAACGCGATCTTGGCCCCATAGGTGTTCACTTGTGTTTACTAAGTAGAAGCACTGGCTCCACAGTTCAAGCACAATGGGACTTGGGATTTCTACTTAAAAATTGTATATATGGCCGGGGGGAGAAAAATATTGCATACGTGATATCAAAGGCTATTATTTTGTTTAGCTAATTACAAAAAAGATCCTGAGCCCACTCTCTCAGTCAGTGTATGTGTATGGTTGTGAGAATTAGATTATGACCGAAAAGTTATTTGGCAGAAGGCAGATGCACTTTGGCGGTGAGACCTATATGCAGCCAGTTCTGGGGAGTTGTTTTGGGGGATCTGGTGTGTAGGCACATCCTTAATGTATTATGAATGAAATGAAAAGTTCAAGTTAAGTGGTGAAAGTTGTATTTTTGAGTGGTTTTTAATTAGTGGGACCCTCAGTAAATTACAATAGAACTTTCTTTGCGAAGGAAATGTGCTGTTGCGGGTATGTTGTGTGCCATCGAGTAGGAACACACCCGTAGCACTCCAGCAGGTTTTCAGAAGCCGTAAGTCATACAGGAAGCTGCCCATCTGTTTCCTCAGGAGCAGCCAGTGGATTAGAACCATTTGCTTTGGGATTGCAGTGCAGATTTTTACAGCAAGGCTACCAGAGCTCCCTATTGTGGGTATGGAGCATCTGAAATGAGTGACTGAGGAGCTGAATTTTAAATTTAATTTACGCTTTGGTGACTCAGTGGTAAGGAACTGCACTGTCACCCAGAGGAACATGGTTCCAATCCACCAGCTGCTTCATGGGAGAAAGGGGCCATCGCCTCTGAAAACCCGTTGGAGGGTCAGCTGTGAGTTGGTTTTGACTTGAGGACTTGCTGGTGTACATGAGTTTTGTTGTCTCCTTTGGAGAATACAGTTCATTGAGACTTAGAATGCTGTCAGTAAGAATGGGCAGGCTGAGCAAGGTGTGTTATTGTTGTTGTGTACCATCAAATTGGAACTGACACGTAGCTGATCCTCCAGCTCGTTTTCAGAGGCAGTAAATAACATAGGAGGAGATTGGCCATCTTTCGCCCATGAAGCAGCTGGTGGATTTGAACCATGTACCTTTAGGTTGTAGTGTGACTCTTACCACTTGGCCACCAGAGCTCCCTAAACATGACACATTTATCTGAAAAGTTTAGTTTTCCTCCTTCTTCTCTTTATAAAGATGTCTCATTGCCTTTTAGAAGTTTTGGGGTTTTTTAATTTTTTTAATTTTATTATTGTGTATGTGTGTATACCATCAAATTGGATCTGACTGATACAGGAGGAGATTGCACCTCCTTCTCCGGCAGAGCATCTGATGGATTTGAACCACATATCTCCGGGATTGCAGTGCAGCTTTTTGCCACTAGGCCACCAGAGCTCCCCAGAAGTTGTTCTTTTAAAATTATTATTGCAGTGTCTCTCTGTTGAATAAGAGATGTTTTAAGTATCTTTCACATTTGCAATATTTTGTTTCATCCTCCTCCAGCATTTACTGAGGACTGGTGAGCACTATGATGCTTTGTAGGACTTGAGAGTCATGTCAGGGGCTGTTAAGCACCTTGGCTCCTTTGTTTATCCACCCTCCATACCATAGACCGAAACACTGCCTGATCCTGTCCCGTCTTCACATTTATTTCTGTGCTTGAGCCCATTATTGGAGCCAATGTGTAGGTTCAAAGCACAGCTCTGCTTTCAAACTGTATCATTTATTCTTATTTCTTTGTATCTTGGATACATTGTGTGTGTGTGGGGTGTATATCTTGTTGAAAGTATTGTGCCACAAATCAAGTATACATATATGCTTCATTTATATGGAAAGCCATTACTGATGAAACTGGGCTAGTGTCTTGAAAAAAGAAAAAAAGGGATTTCAGTTTGATACATTATATAGGAGATTGTGCCAAACTAATAGCCAGTAAAATATTATCAAAAGTAAAGCTACCGGTTTTTAGTACTTTTTCAGTGGGCAGATCTGCTACTCAGTACCTCTTTAAAGATCAAGAATTGAGAAAATTCTCATTTATTGTATAAATAAAGAACTTTTTTTTGAAAATTAAAAAAAAAAAGATCAAGGAAGTCACTTTATAGACTAAGATGCACCCAACCCAAGCCAGAGAATTTTCACTTGCTTCATATACATGTGAAAGTCGGACATAAGGAAATAAGGAAAATTGAAGAATTGGTGCCTTTGAATGGTGGTGTTAGCAAATGGTATTGGACATACATACCATGGACAGCCAGAAGAATCAACAATCTGGAGTGCAGCTCCTGGGCTCCTTAGAGGTGAGCGAGGATGGTGATATTTCATCTCTCATCCTATGATCTTGTTATCAGGAGGGATAACAAGTGGATAACAAGGGGAAAGTGGAGTGTCACTGAAGGAGAAGACTTTTGACGAGATAGGTGGATGCAGTGGTTGCAGCAATGTGCTTAGGCACAGACGAGCCCCTGAGAAGGGTGTAGGGAGTGTACAGGGTGTCGCTCTCCATGCGTAGGGTTGCTGTGCATTGGAGCTGACTTGCACGCAGCTAATAACAATAACATGCACCATGTGTTGTGCAAAATACTTGACATCCATTTGTTTATTTAATTCATTTTGGTTGAGGTAAGAACTCTTTAAAAAGTTTGGATTTTTAGGAGAAGGCAGCTGAGGCTGTCTTCAGCCCAGCTCTTACGTTTGGACTCTCTTCTTTAATACCCCTTGCCTATATTCTGTCCCCTCTAAGATACCTCAAGGAGACCGGTGACGTAGTGTGCTGCATGCTGGGCTGTTTACCACCAAAGGTCAGTGATCCAGAACCGCCACCTTCTCGATGGGTTCTCCTCTTGTTAAGATTGACAGTCTTGGAAACTTGCTGGAGAGTCTCCAGGAGTCAAAATAGACTCAGTGGCATTAAGTTTGGGTTTACTTTCTCTTGTGTCTCACGATTCTGCTCCCAGACAGAGTGACTTTTCAGTGGTTTTTGACTTGGGAGAGAATACTACTGCCACATAGGGTTTCCATAGCTAGAAAGTGGAGTGGCTGCTGGACTCAAACTGCTGACCTTGTGAACAGTGCTGCCAGAGCTTTTGTCTAATTGCTTCACCCTCCCTTGAATCCACCTCATCGCTCATGCAAGACAGTCTTCCAAAAATGTCTTCTTTCTGCTTATAACGATTTAGTAGCCAAAAGGCTCTTTGTGTTGTGAACCTGCTCTACTTTTGTCATCTCATACTATCTTCATGCTGTTCCTTTGCCCCATGTTGGATCTCCGAGATTTCCATTTCCTCTGTTCATTAACTCTTCTTTGCGGAAGATCTCAGAGGCAGAGGGAGGAGACTCTGCCTTCTTTAGACATGTTGCCGGAGACCCCAGAGATGGAGGAAGGGAACTCTCATATCACATGCATGCAAAATACTGCTGAAGATTATAAAAATAATCACGGCTAGAACAACCCATTGACAGGGAACTGCCAGAAGTCCAAGCTAGTTTTGGACGAGGCCATGGCACCAGGGCTATTGCAGATGTCAGATGGTTACTGACTGGAAGCGGAGAATACCTGAAGAATGTCCATTTGTGTTTTATTGACAATGCAAAGGCCTTTCACTGTGTATTACAGCAAACTATGGCTTACACTGAGAAGAATGGGAATCCCAAAACACTTAATTATACCTAGACCAAGAAGCTTTTGTCTGAACAGAGCAAGGGAACACTGTATGGTTTAAACTAAGGAAAGGTGTGTGTCGGGGTATCCTTTCTCTATACCTATTCAAAGGAAGCTCTCGTGGCCTAGTGGCAAGAGGCTGTGCTGCAATCCCGAAGGCACACAGTTTGAGATCACCAGCTCTTCCGCAGGAGAAAGATGGGCAGTCTCCTCCTGTGCAGTTAACTGCCTCTGAAACCCCCTAGAGGGTCAGCTATGGGTCAATTCTGACTCTTTGGTATAAAACAAGAACAACAACATCCCTGTTCAGTCTGTATACTAAGCAAATCATTTGAGAATCTGGACTCTGAAGAAGGATGTGGCATCAGGATCAGAGAGAAGATTCATCAACAACCTATGTTACGCGGATAACACAACCTTGTTTGCTGAAAATGAGGTCTTGAAACACTTGCTGCAGAAGATCAAAGACTTCACTATAAATTGCATTTCATCACTGAGAAGACAAAAATCCTCATCACTGTACCAGTAAGCAGCATTGTGATAGATGGACAAAAGATCGAAATTGTTAACAATTTCATCTTACTTGGATCCGCAGTCTCTAC